CCAATATCCACATTTCTAGGTTTGAGAATGACGAGCACAAAGAAAAAAAAAAACTTTACTGAGTCTGAAATTGAGGTCCTGCTGGCGGAGGTAGAGGTTCGTGCGGGGACACTTTTTGGAAGTCTCTCCAGTGGGATTTCACACAAAACAAAATTCGTGGCATGGCAGTGTGTAGCGCAGGCTGTGAACGAGGTAGGTGGGCAGCAAATGTCCCTAAAAGAAGTAAAAAAAAATGATGGTCTGACTTGATATTATAGACCAAAAAGCGTGTTGCACGACACAGAAGCAATGTGCAGGCCACAGGAGGTGGAAGTGGCACTGTATCCCTCACACCGGAGGACAACCGAATAGCTGCCATCATGGGTGAGACTTCTGTTGTTGGCATTTGTGCAGAAGGTGATACAGATATTTTGTCTGCACCAGCTTCAGAAGGTATGCTGGCATGTGATAAGTTATAGATTATCGAAACCGAGTGTTGTTTTGATTGTGCAATTTTATTACTGTAGATGATGAACATTTACAAAGGAAAACAGCCCCTAGTAGGTCTGTCTCCCAAACTGCGACAGCATCAAGTAACACTCCCGTTCAAGAGGAATCTCCCAGGCCATCAACATCCACCTCGAGCTGTCCTAGCCAGGGGAGAGTGCTATCTGTGGCCGTCCTGCAATCACAGAAAGAGCTGAATCAGTCAGTTTGTGATGTTGTTACTGAACTGTGCAGTTGCGCACAATGAAGGAGTCGTGCGTCGACCCTGGCCATCTTGCAACTGCATTAAGAATTGCCATTCGAGCATTGCAAATGAGCTGTACATTAATTGAATGGAAATTTTTCCTATTAACATACACATATTCATGTGCATGAGGTGCTCGTATGGCAACGTGAGTGCAATCTACTGCACCTAGGACATTGGGGAATCCTGTTTGGCGCACAAAATCATCCATAACATGCTGCTGCTCCTCGGCAGTGTATGGGAACTTTATGTACCAAGTGGACAATCGGATGATGCCTTGAAGCACAGCTGGCATAAGTCTACTCACAGATGGCTGGGATATTCCTGATCGGTCACCAATCTCTCTTTGAAATGTTCCCGTGGCCAGGAACCCAAGCACGGAGAGCACCTATACCTCCACAGGTATGGCCTGGTTGGAGTTGGTGCGTCTCTGTATTTTAGGGCCTATCTGGGCACAAAGATGTAACAGTGCAGCTCTTGGCAAACGGTACCTGCTTATCAACCATTCGTCGCCATACGCAAAAAATCTGCCCGATCTCTAAAAACACGTTGTCTTCTCATTGCACGGTTTGCAATATCTTCAAGAAGTGCTAATGCTGCCATTCTGCCTCTTGCAAACTACTTCATCATAGGCCATTTTATAGGCCATAGATGCACAGAAATTATTAACATGCGTGGACCCAAATTATTTAATAATGTGTAATTATTCTGTGGACAAAACAATGTGTGTGTGGTTATATTTTTTCTATTGACTATTATCAAAAGTACTATTCTAGAAACAACATAAATAATCATAATAATCATAATAATAATAATAGTAGTAGTAGTAGTAATTATAAAAAATTTGGTTTCCAAAAGTGAGAATAAACTACGAATTCAAGTAACATTAAATAAAATAATAAAAAAACAACATGGAATAAACTGTGTACAGAAAGCGAGTATAGACTAATTAGAACTCTCAACATTAGGCTACTAAAAAGGTCAGTTTAATAGTCAAAGACCGTTTTTATAAATATGAACGTTGCCGTGGATTTTAGCGTACACACACTCTAAGATCAAATCTGTACGTACGCACATTTTATAAATGAGGCCCCAGAACTCACAAATGTGTATAACCAAGAAATTGGAAGACTGGAGCAATGGGGGTACGTCGTCAAGCTGGCAAGTGAAGCAGTCGATCAAACTCCTGAATCATGGTTCATACCACACCACATGGTACACCATAATGATAAGCATAGAGTAGTGTACAACTGTTCCTTTCAATATCAAGGCCACAACCTTAATGATTACCTGTTGCCTGGGCCTACTCTTACTTCCACCTTACTAAGAGTGTTGCTTCGCTTTAGGGAGCATGCTATTGCAATCACAAGCAATATCAAAGACATGTTTCATCAGATTCGTCTGATCCCAGAGGACAAGCCACTTCTCAGATTTCTATGGCGAAACATGCAGCCTGATACTCCAGTCAGTGTCTATGAGTGGCAGGTTTTGCCGTTTGGGACTACGTGCAGTCCATGCTGAGCAACATTTGCTGTACTCAAACATGTCCAAGAGAACTCTGATCCAGGAGAAGAGACACGTGTGGCTGTAGAGAAACATTTCTATGTGGACAATTATCTGCAGAGTGTGAGTTCTGCTGCCAAGGCGACTGAACTGGTAAACAAGCTGCAAGCTCTTCTAGCTTCTGGTGGGTTCGAGTTAAGACAATGGGCTATGGGACGCACTGAAAAACGGTGGGGAATTGTATTTAAATACAATTTACAACGACCAGAGGAGTCTATATTGATTTACTCCCCAAAATTGATACAGATTCATTCCTCATGGCCCTGCGTAGATTTGTAGCACGCAGAGGAATTCCCCATGAACTCTATTCTGACCAGGGAACAAACTTCAAGGGAGGTGAAAGAGAACTGTCAGAAGCGTTTACTGCCATGCAACCCACTTTGCAAAATCAGCTGGCAAGGCAAAAAATTCAGTTCAAATTTAATCATGCCTCAACTGAAAGCGCCTAAAGAATCTGTCCTTCCCCACCTCAAAGCATTGGAAAGACGTCTCAGTAAGAGTCCAGAACTCACAAAGGTGTATAACCAAGAAATTGAAAGACTGGAGCAATGGGGGTACGTCGTCAAGCTGGCAAGTGAAGCAGTCGATCAAACTCCTGAATCATGGTTCATACCACACCACATGGTACACCATAATGATAAGCATAGAGTAGTGTACAACTGTTCCTTTCAATATCAAGGCCACAACCTTAATGATTACCTGTTGCCTGGGCCTACTCTTACTTCCACCTTACTAAGAGTGTTGCTTCGCTTTAGGGAGCATGCTATTGCAATCACAAGCAATATCAAAGACATGTTTCATCAGATTCGTCTGATCCCAGAGGACAAGCCACTTCTCAGATTTCTATGGCGAAACATGCAGCCTGATACTCCAGTCAGTGTCTATGAGTGGCAGGTTTTGCCGTTTGGGACTACGTGCAGTCCATGCTGAGCAACATTTGCTGTACTCAAACATGTCCAAGAGAACTCTGATCCAGGAGAAGAGACACGTGTGGCTGTAGAGAAACATTTCTATGTGGACAATTATCTGCAGAGTGTGAGTTCTGCTGCCAAGGCGACTGAACTGGTAAACAAGCTGCAAGCTCTTCTAGCTTCTGGTGGGTTCGAGTTAAGACAATGGGCTATGGGACGCACTGAAAAACGGTGGGGAATTGTATTTAAATACAATTTACAACGACCAGAGGAGTCTATTTGTATTTAAATGTATGACGACCAGAGGAGTCTACATTGATTTACTCCCCAAAATTGATACAGATTCATTCCTCATGGCCCTGCGTAGATTTGTAGCACGCAGAGGAATTCCCCATGAACTCTATTCTGACCAGGGAACAAACTTCAAGGGAGGAGAAAGAGAACTATCAGAAGCGTTTACTGCCATGCAACCCATTTTGCAAAATCAGCTGGCAAGGCAAAAAATTCAGTTCAAATTTAATCCCCCTGGAGCCCCTCACTTTGGTGGACTATGGGAGAGGGAGATCAGGTCTCTAAAGTCTGCTCTCAATGTTACACTTGGAGCCCAACATGTAACAGAGGAAGTGCTAAGCACAGTGCTTACAGAAATTGAAGAGATTCTAAACTCTAAACCCTTGGGCTACATGTCATCGGATATAGCAGATGTGGAATCCCATTACCCCGAACAGCCGTTTATTGGGGCGGCCAGACCCTGATTTACCCCAAATTGTATACCATGAGTCAGAATTACTTAGCAGAAAACGCTGGAGACACAGCCAGGTCCTTGCCGACCATTTTTGGGCACACTACGTCAGGAGATACTTACCTGAGCTGCAAACTCGAAATAAGTGGATGACTGAAACTGGCAAAGACCTAAAGACTGGGACAGTAGTGATGATAGTGGATCACCAGTTGCCTCGAGCCCTCTGGCCAGTGGGTAAGGTCTCAGCCACAGTACCAGGGGCTGATGGGAAAATCCGAACTGCTGAAGTGCAAGTACAGGGTCGGAAATACATCCAACCAGTGAGTAAACTTGTCTATTTGCCACCATTACCTGATGATGACAAGGACTCGTAAGCCTTTTCTAAAGTAGAATTTACTATGTAAATTGGGGCGGCTGATGAAAAGGCTTATTATATTTTACTGGTTTTATTCTTATTGGTGGACTGTGAATTATTGATTCTTATACTGTGCGCTTCAATGTGCGCTGTATAAGTGTGATGATGAATAATATTTCACATTTTACTTTAATGTATACATCATACAAATGTCAGTGGGCCATATTGTGTGGATTGATAAGATTATTTATAATTGAGAAGCAGTTATAAGACGATGATCGTGCACATCACTAGTCGAGTATAGTCACGTGTAGTCAGGTGTTCTCACGTGTTTGTACATTTGATATGGGTGTGTGTTTGTCGTTTATTGCTGTGAATTGATTATTGTATTTCTGTTTTAATTATAGAAAAACCACACACGTTTGTAAACCCATACACAACTACATTGTGTATGTCAGTTGGCTTGAAACTTTATTAAAAACAGTGATTGGACTCGTGGACTTCTGTGCATTCTTACCGATGCCCCGTGATGATCCCACCTAAACCAAAACCAGTTCAAGAAACATACTTAACACTTTGCCTTTAATTTTCTTCCAAATTCTACAGTAAAACCCAGTGAAAGTTGACACAGACAGAGTCTTGTGTGCCCTGATGAAGAATGAATTTAAATTATCATGTTAACTCTGAAGGAATTTGAATAATGCCTGTATAAATGTCAAGAATTGATCAGTGCTATAATGCATTGTGACACTTTGCCTTTTATTTTCTCCAAAATTCGACAGTAAAACCCAGGGAAAGTTGACACAGATAGAGACATGGTCGTTCTGAAAAAGACTTTATTGAAATTTCCGTGTTAACTCTGAAGGAATTTTAATAATGCATATAGAAAAAAGTAGGAAATAATCACTGTTATAATGTATTATATGTATACAGACTTTATTTTTGTGGAAAACTCCACAGTAGAATATATTCGAACGTAATATAACTTTCTTTTATAATGTCCAATATAAATATGCTTGTTAATAGTTTTTTTTCCCCTGTTTTTGGGCACATTTAGTTAATAACCTTTCTAACACGCCCCCACATGTCTACGTCACGATGTGGGAAGATTTGCATAACGCCGTCCAAATGTTCACGCAAAAAAAGAAGGCGTAACTTTAATTTGCTGTTGCCACCGCTGCCATGTTGTGGAGTCGCTGTGTGTTTCATTGTGAAAGTGAAACTACTTTGTTTGGCCTTCCAAAAGAGGACACAACTAGAAATCAGTGGTTAAGTTGTATTTACAGCACTGTTCCA